CTGCAAGAGCCCTGACTCATGGGGCTCCTCTGATCTGTGCTGAAGAGGAGAGAATGCAATCTGGGGTCTGGAGTGCTGCCTCAGAAACAGAGAGGCCCTTGTCTTCCCTGGTCCCCACCTTCTGGCATTCCATCAAACCAAGGGGAGATGGCAACAGTACCATCCCTGAGATGAGGTTGGGGAGCAGTCAATCCAGCTCCAAAGTCCACATCTGAGTTGCCATGCTGCCACTGTGCTGGAAGGTTCTTTAGAAGTCACATGGGGCTGTGCTGGCTCACAAGTCGTCTTCTTTGCTTCTGCCTCAGTTACCTTAGAGGGTCAACCCCAGGCACTACCTCAATGTCTGCTGAGAAGTTTACCTGGGGGTGGGGTGGAATAAAGGTGGCTAGCTGTGCTGGAGCTGAATGTACAATCTATGCATTTTCTCTCTCTCTCTCTCTCTCTCTCTCTCTCTCTCTCTCTCTCTCTCTCTCTCTCTCTCTTTCTCTCACTCCCTCCCTCCCCCCCAGCCTTTCCCCTCTCCCTCCCTCCCCTTTCCTCCTTCTCCCTATCTGTCTTCTTCTCTTTCTCCCCCTTTCTTGTATAAATCTTAGTTGGGGTTTGTTTGTTTTTGTTCTTAGTTTTTTTAAGCTTATGAACAAGATATTCTATAGGACCCTCTTAAGATTGAGGAGGGCTTTTACCCACCACCTGTGTCTACCCCTCCTGTTGTCTTTGGTTCTGTTCTTGCCAAGCCCCACACAGGGAGAAAGTGGCCTCTCTTCTCCCCTCACTTGGCTGGGAATATTCTCACAGCCTAGGCCTGCAAACATCACTAGGAAGCAGGCACTGCATCATCCCCTCCCCCACTCCCAGCACCATCTTCTCCTTTCTGCATTTTTCTCCTACCTCCCACCTTCATCCCCACACCTCCAAAAAGCCTTAGGTTTCTCCTTTTTGAAATGTGGCCTTAAAATTATTTTTGGAAAGCTGACATCTCCCCCTCCAGTTCCCCCACCATCACAGAAGAGAGAGCATCTTGAAGCCTGCATGTGTGGCAGCCTCCTGAGCAAAGGGACTGCCAATCTGTAGCCTGCAGATGCACTACGAATAGCGTAAATGTCGTCTTTAAGAAAAATGTTCTCATATTTTTCCTATGGGCAAAATGAAGTCTTGGGTGCTCTTGCAGCTCTGAAGCATTCTCCTAAACATGTTGCCGTGGCAGTGGGCTGGCATCACCAGCAGGATGCTCACTGCAGCTTTCCAGTCCTCCCCTTCTGCAAGACCCAGTGACTTTAGGTACTTCATTCAAGAGTAAATCGGGAACATTGCTCAGTTCATTTCTTCATCCTTCTTGCCTGGAAAGTGACAGCATTAAATATTCCCAGTGTATGGGTCATGTTCTTGAAGGGATGGTCCACTCCCTCCTTCAGACTCTACCCTGAACCCGTCCATCATTCCAGTGCTGATGGAGGCCAAAGACAACCCCAGGGTTTTCATAGGGAGTTCACTGGTATTGAGCGCAATTGTCTTTATCCATTTGTCTTTTCTTTTAAAGGAAAAGAAGAGACTCTTATGTTGTTGGTGGCATTTGTCCAGATGTTTGTTTTAGATACGTTATTACTGCCTCCTTCTTTGTTTTCAAAGACATGTGGTGATATAGTTTTTAAAAATAACTATTTTGTTATAGATCATAATATGCATAAAACTGTACAGAAATATTTTGTAATGTATTGATTTTAAAAAAAGAGAATCTGTAAATAAAAGTTTAAAAAAATAAGAGAGAGCTCACATGGCACAGGCTGAAAGATGTAGATATTTTGCTATTTATTTAAAGGAGTATTTTAAGAAATTAAACTATCTGAAGTTGACCAGTAATCAAAGTTCTAATCATCCGAATACTTCTCATCAAGGTAGAGTCCAATCCTCACAAACAGCTGTTATCCACCCATATCTGCCTCTTTTCTGTGTTTTCATTTAGTAGAAAACAACAACAACAAAATTGTGCCTTAGCTGTATTTCTGTCTAGGGGAATTTGTTTCTGTCCAACAAAGCAACATTTTTTTTTGCAGAAAACAGTGGATTATTAAATACTGTATTATACCAAAAACACCACAGGTGTACATAGACGCTTTCTGCCATACTGTGTTTTCAGATGCAGAATTTTAAAATAAAAAAAAATGTCTCTATGGAATCTCTTTTCATGGTTACTTTTCAGCAACTTCGGCACCCTCACACAACCTTGCATTCTCTCACATGTCCTATGCCGTGGCAACTGGTACTATATAATTTGCTATCTCAGCTGGGGTACTCTTGAAAGTTGACAGTAACTAGAAGGATGCTGAGACCATGGACATGAGCCCAGACATGAGGACACATCTCATCTTAAAAGTTGCTGTCATCTCCCCAGTGGATAATTACAGCACCCTCCTGGAAGTGTTTCCTCTACTTAGGGCAAAAGAATATCATTTTACTCACTTGTTTGAAGAGGATAGGAATAAGAAGCTGTCCTGTAAAATAGCAGTTTTAATATCCACCTAGAATCTAGGTCCTGGATAGACTTGTAGAAAGCCTGATTCCCTCTCCAGCACACATCTGATCTATATTCTTCAGACTGCCTTACCCTTCCCTGTGACCACATGGCCAGCTTTCAATGGAAAGCCAGTGAAATGGGCTTAGGACAGGTATAGCCCTGTCTCATCAAACCTCCCACAGGAGCCTCTTCTCACTCCATCGTTCCCTACTCAAACTCAGATGCTTGGAATTTTGATTTGGTGCAGTCACTGGCTTGGTCTACTCTACTGCTTTCTAGGGAGCCATCACATCAACACTGAGGAAGGCAGAGCCACAACCCAGGAGGAGCCCTGGACTCTGGATAGACATGAAATTTCACCTGACCTAAGTCACCCCTTTTAACAATGACATGATAAGAAACCTCTCATGGTAGAGCTAGAGGGTATATATACATGATCATGTGGGTATATATGCAGATATGTGTAGGTCAGAGATTGGCATTGGGTGTCTTGCTCAATTGCTTTCCATATTTTTTAGGCAGGATCTCTCATTGAACCTAGAATCCATTGATTCAGCTAGGATGATTGGCCAAGGAGTTCCAGGGATCAATCCATCTTGGTTCCCATCTACCCCAGAAACATTTTAATGCTGTGTCAGTTAACCTTACCTCAAATCCATCTAGAACTAGAACTCATACTGTTTCTTAAGAAAACTGGGTCCATAGCTTCTTCAATCTATAGGCAAAGCTACAGAGAGCAAGATGGCTGAAGCCACTCATAATCATGTCCAGAACCAAGAACAAGCCACAGGCACCAGTCACTCCATATTTATGATGCTCATATGAAGTTTCTGAAAGCCATAGCCAAGGGCTGGGAATGCCTAGCTGAATGTGGTATGAAGAGTCCTCTGACTGGGTCTTCATAGTCTTTCTAGGCAAAGAATAGCATGGGATTCAAGTATTAGCAAGAGGAACAAAAGAAGCTGGCAATTTTCTCATTAGACAAGCAGAGGGTAAATGTACAGAGAGCTGCATCAGCATCAGTTCCCTGAGCTGGACTTGAGAATGAGGGTAGGCAGCTCCACACTGGGAAGATGAATGGACCAGTAGGCATTTGCCAAGCATTTTTCACTTGCTCTTGATGCCAGTGTCTCCTGCCTTCATCCTGAGTTAACTCCTCAAAGCTAGGTTTGGTAGCAAAGAAAAACAAAGTCTTAACATGTCTGTAAGAGTAGGGGTCACAGGCACCTCTGCTG